TAGGTGCCAGAACCTGAGGGTCAAGCCAAAGATAAGACTAACTATACTTTCCAACAGCCTTTGCAAAGAATAGATGCATATATTTAAACCTCCGTGCTTTCCAGATAAAAGGTATAGTGGATAAAATACTTTCAGATTTGAGTTCTGGGGCGAACATCTTTTCCGTCGTTATTACTTACCTACTTTTATTGATAATTATTTTGCATAAAATTAATATTTTTTGTTGTCAAGAAATTTTGAATACATGAAAAAATAGTAAGTAATATATGGAAAATTGAAATGAATTTTCCACTTGAGTATTATTGCTGCCACCATCTGTATTAGAGAGGGAAAAAATGGTAGGGGTGGCCACAGGGGTGGCCAATGATTGGCTAAAGCCGGGCGTACACTGTGTGATTTTTTTCAGTCGTTGCATGCAACTACTGCTCACAGCTAACGATGTGCAGCACGAAGTTCTCATGCGATCTACCTGATTACACTGTACGACTAAAAAGCATGTCGGACTCAGCTCCGCAGTGAGATGGAGCTGCTCTGACTCGTCTATCCGGAAGCCAAACGAGTAGAAGAGGAATATGAAGCTCACTAGAGTGAAACGTGCTGCCTTATCAATTTGTGCAATTTTGTGCTGAAAGCCCTAAAAAGAAAAGGCGACGAAGTATTTAGAAAAAAGACATGGCTGAGCAAACGTTGCTACTACGGTCTGTCAATTTTACAGACAGAACTGCATTTCACACATTGCATCCCAGCCATGCTTCTGTATTTACATCTGAGAGGAACAAGAAGAGGAAACCTTGTCTGCGCATGCCCACTGAGCGATTTGCCCATGATTCCTGATCGGGAGGTGGTCATGGGAGGCTGATCCCCTTTACACTACACGACGCACGATCAGGCTGAAAGATTCTCGCACGACTGGAAAATCGCCCTGAAAATCGTACATCTAACTCCGCCCCTGCCCGGACCAGGAATCAATCCCAGAACCTTCTTGCTGCAAACAGCAGTGCTACACACTGTACCACAGCGCAGACCCGTGTTGTGAACTGTCACTAAATAAATAAAATAAATTGACCTGAATTTTTGAATCCTGTGTTTTATCTCAGTTTTTTGCTCTGCTTGAATTTGAAGACAGCCTTTCATGCTTTCAGCACTGAATTGGTGCTCGTCCTTGCATCTGATGAACCTATTAAATCAGGTTGGTATACCCTCCCACCTGATCAGCATACAGCCTGTGCAGAGTGTGTCAGCCAGCCTGCAGCAGCGTGTCCCTAAAAGCCCTCCGTTTGGTGCTCTGTTGCTGTGCAGCGCTGCCAGCTGGTCAGCTGATCGCTGCTGATCACTTATCGCAGCTGTTGGAGTGTCCGCCCCTGCAGAGGCTGCTCCCGCTCTTTATTTGTTGGGCGCAGGTGCTTGGAGCTCAAAGAGTGCCACAGTTCAACATATAGACTGCATTAAATTTAAATTATTTAAAGAGATAACATTTATATCATTTTTAATATCATTTGCTCACATTAATCGATCATTTAAAGAAATACTGAGAATTATTACTGAATTATATACTTTGGAATAGTCAAAGGCATCTCAATATATTAGACAATCCCATATTCACAAATTCAATGAAAATTGTAAAGGTTACTACAGATATTTCAGTTTTTTTTTTCTATTAATTTATGATTAGGCAAATTAAGTCACCTAATGAGCCGTTCACAACATTGATACAAGGAAAAGAATTTTTTTTTAAATAGATAATTTTTTTTCATAGATTTAAAACAGTGCAGTCAAGTTTAATTTATTAAATACATACAGCAAATTGCAATGGATGATTGCCTTGCTACATCCACTCCTTATGGATGAGGAAGAAGTGTTGCTTTCACTGTGCCAATAACTATAGAAATCTTTCATGCCTATCATGCATGTGGTGACAGTGGTAAGGAAACCTTCCCTATAATGTGGAAGAAACCTCCAGCCAAGCCAGGGTTTAGCATACATGGTCATCTGGTGCAACCAACACTCAGTGCTTGTTAAGGGCTCCTTTGTAACATAACTATTGTATTAAAAGTATTATGTTTTACTAACATGTTCTAAAATTGTAGGATTAAACAAACGCCTCCCCCCTTAATGACCAAGACATCTTAACAATGCTTTGTTTATAAAAAAAAAATGACATGATACATCATTATAATAGTTTTAAAACGTTATTACAATTTTGTAAGGCATAAGATATTTGCTTTTTTTTTTAATATAAAATCAATAAAATTGTCAAGGTAAAGAATGAACCTTGATGTAAAGTAGGTTTAAATGCTTTAAAAAAAAGGATAGAATACAATAGAAAATCCCTTTATTGTCCCACAATGGGAAGATTGTGTGTTTACAGCAGCAAAAAGATTATAGAACAAATTGTCACACAAATCTGGACCTAAGGTAAACAAATAAAATAGTGTACTGTAAACTGTTTTAACTATATGAATACTGTTCACTTATAAATAAATAACCAATAAACAGCTATGGATATTTTTACAGTAATTGATATTTGAAAATAGCAGCAACATCAGAGATGTGCAAAATGACAGCAGTATGTTATTTACCTGACAAAATAGAAACTGTGCAAAATAAATGTAACAGCTTATTGAGGTTGTTGGGAACAGTGATGTTATAAAGTCTTACCGCTGCTGGGAGGAAGGATCTGTGATAACGCTCCCTGTGTCACGGTCTTGGTTCTGTTATGTTTTACTTTGCTCCATGTTTTCTAGTTTTATTATTTTGTTGTATTTTCTGGATATGTTTGAGTTCTTAGGTTTTTATTTGTTTCCCTCTGTTGTCCTCATGTTTCGGTCTCCTTTCCCTTAGCTCCTTCCTAGACTGCTCTCTTCACACCTGCTCCCAATCAGCTCGTCAGTCCTCTCTTTGTTAAGTCTACCATAAATACTCTCCTTGTGCAGTTCCTCAGTGCTGGTTCCTTGTCTCTCCTCTGTTAAAGTTTGGTTGTGGTTTTTGGACCCAAATGCAGAGGCGTTGAGGCAGGGGTGAGTTTCTTGAAGATTTAATTGAATAAACACAGGTAACAGAGGCAGGAATCCAAAAATCCAACATGAAACATGTAAAACAAAGCAGAACCATGGAGACATCAGGGGAAAAGGGCACATGGAGTCAGGGAAAGGCAAGAAGAGACGAGGTTAGATGAAGTAAGACAAGGAACCGGCACTGAGGAACTACACAAGGAGAGTATGTATGGCCGACTATACAAAGAGAGGACTGACGAGCTGATTGGGAGCAGGTGTGAAGAGAGCTGTTTAGGGCGGAGCTAGGGAAAAGGAGACCAACACAAAAGTGCAACAAATAAAAACCTAAGAACCCAAACATATCTAGAAAATACAACAAAATAATAAAAAACTAGAAAACATGGAGCAAAGTAAAACATAACGGATCCAAGACCGTGAAACCCTGGTGCATTTAGGGTGCAGCAGTCTGTCACTGAAGGAGCTGTCCAGTTCTGCAGCAGGTTCATGCATGGGGTGGGAATCATTATCCAACAGAGATATTCATTTAGCTAGGATCCTTTTGTTTCCCACCTCCTGCAGTCCAGAGGGCATCCAATCACAGAGCTGGCCTGAGTATAGGTATGTAACTCCTCTGTTTAAGTAGTACATTTGCTCAATAGAAAATATAAATGAAAGTTTGAATAAATTATGCTAAGTTATGATTATTTAATTTACTGAATTCAGTTTGCTGTTTGTATTTAGAGTCAGTGCACCCGGGGGTTACGTCCACCAAGGGCACAACATATTTGAGGACACGAGACAAAAAGATGAGGGTTCAACAAAATATTTATTCATAAATTCTCTCCACTTTAGTTTTCTTGGCTCAGCTTCTTCTGATTTTCTGCGAAGAAAATAAAGTTAGAGGCCCTCAGATCCCGTGCCCCAAAGGAATCAAAAAAATAAAAACCCAAAAGTAACAACAGAAAGTTGGACCTGGCAGGCCGATCAAACAGAACAAAACGGTACAGCAGGGGGCCAACCCTATACAGGGCCGTCGAAGTCCCTACTTGTACCGGACTAAAGCACAAAATAACCTAAGCAAAAGAAAGATTGAAAATAGGACAACCGGTCCCCCCAGCCAAAACCACAAGAAAAAAAAGCAAGTAACGGCTAACCGAAATACCGCATGGCAGGCTGGAACGTCCGCTGCGGTCCGCAGCGACAAGACAAGCGCGCACCGCGCACGGTGGAACGAGCGGAAGCAGGTGGAAAGGCGGAGTCCAGGCGGGGATGGGAGGGGCACAGAAAAGCATGAAATAAAAAACAGGGCAAGGGATTCAAATATATTAAGAAAGCTGCATGGAGTGAAATTTCTATTCAATTAGGTTTAATAAAAATTCTATTACTGAGGTCAACATAGATTTATAATTTTGGAATTTTAAATATTTTATTTACTTCATTTAAGTTAAAATTACCATTTTCTATAAAATCTGAATTAGAACAAAAAAGCTGATAAATGTATCTGTTAAAATTTTAGTATATTTTTTTTCTATTTGTTGTGGGAAAATAAAAATTTGCAGATGAAAAATGGGATCCCAATATCACTGAATACCATTATTGTTTTAAAATAATTAATAAAACATAATTTGTAAAGAAAAAAATGAAATAGATCCAAACGACCCATTTGTAACCATGTCTGTTCCAGCGCATATCATCATTAGAATTTCTTTTAAGTATTATTTCTTCAGTATAGGGGCACTACCCCCCGTTGGCCCCTGTCTAGAACCGTCCGTGTGTAGAGTCACTTTTTTTTTCCAATAACCAACGACTGATTGTTTTTTTACAGTTTATTCTGCGCAATTAAATGATATGTTTCTATGTCTATGTGCGCCAAATAGTCCTTTGTTTACACGCAGCCCCCCCGCCTCTCTGCGGAAGGAGGCGTTTGGTGGTGCGGTGTGTGACTCCTACCAGCTGTTTCCCGCCTTGAAAGCAATCCGATCAGCTGCACACACACTAACACACACACACAGACACAGAGACACGGTCATGCAGAGGGAGAAAGCAAAGGGGAGGGAGACGGAGAGGTAGAGCGCCACACACAACGAGGGAACCCCATCAGCTGGAAGCCCAGTAACATTACAACTCCTAAAAAAGAACTACAATAAACGGACGAGGGATCCGGATTTACTTTCAAGATCACGGGATTTTTATCAGCTGTTCCCTTTCATCTAAGGAGACTGCCTTTTTTTTTTTTTTTTTTTTTTTTTTTTTTTTTTTTTGAGAAGGGGGGCAAACTGGCGAGAAGCAAGCATGGAGTATTTCATGGTTTCAGCTCAGAAGGTGCCCCCGCTGCAACATTTCAGGAAAACGGAGAAAGAAGTGATTGGTGGTCTTTGTAGGTGTGTATACAAACCACACGCGCTCCATTCAGTCAGATTATAAATGTAAAAGCTGTCCATGCGCTGATCTGAGGCAACATGTTTGATCTGATCTGTTATTGTGTACACCACCCGCTCACGGGGGGAGCTGCGGGCGCTAATTAACACTAAACACCGGTGTTATGCTGCAGATGAGCGCATCGGGGTCTCGTGCTGCGAGTGCAACGTCTCTTGAATTGTATTTCGCTTGTTTTGTACAAAATGGGATGTATTTTATGCCTAACAAACATTAACCACGTGGTTCCGTGCACACCACGCTGCTGCTCCGCTCCAGAGCACATCCCACATCTATTTATCTGTATATTATCTCTGATATGGTTGCTGCAATTTGCATAGGAAAGGGGGAATATTTCACTGTGAAGTATTGTTGTCCTTGAAAGGGTCTGCGCACGTTTGTGAAGGGAGGTGATCTGTTGAAAGGGTGCCGAAGTTATTGTGGGTAGTGCGGCCATGCTTGTGGCTTCAGCTAAAAGGGATGGGGGGGGGGGGGGGTCTATTTAGTCTCCCGTTTTATTATATATTGTTTTCTTTTTATGTAAAACGTGAGTTGCTTGTTTCGCGTTTACTTTTATTATAGGTTGTGGTTAAATGTTTCGAGTTTCTATGCGGTTTGCTAGCGCCGCGGAGCGACATCCATTGCGTCTTTTCATCCCGCACCTCTGCCATGCTGCCTGCCGCATTGTTGTAATGGCGGAGGACATGAAAAAAGTCGGAGCACCGAGGTGCTGTAGGGCTCCGCGGCAAAGAAGGGGGGTCTTCTTTCTGCTTTTACAAATATTACTGAACACATGTTCTGTAACTGGACATTTAGCGTTCAAGGGGGGAGGCAGGAATATTGAAAGTTGCGTTATTAATAAGGGGGGTGTGTGTGTCGCGGAAGGCCCGTCGATACGTCCGCAGCCCTGTTTGGAGAAGGAGGCGGAGGGATCTTCTGCTGTTCGGTGCTGCTGCGACGGCTGTTCTCGCAAGGGTACTCTGGGAAATGTAGTCCTTTATCTATTCGCTCTAATTCTACCAACAGTCAGCTGATAGTGGGTCAGCAGGTATCAAATAAAACAGCTACCGTGTATAATCGCTTACTGAAGACATAAATAGGTTCAGAATACATAAATTTGATCAAATATGTTAATGATATAAAATTAATGTGATATTACATTTGGGTTATTTATATAATTTACATTTTAATCTAGGGTGTTTATTCACAATGTCAGAATGGGTCCTTTTATGTCCTAGATTTTTTTTTAAATATAATTTCTGATTAATTAGCAGTCATATTACCTTTTCCTAAAGCCTTTAGAACAACAATATATTTTCTATTGACATGCAGAGAGATTTTGTAGCCATTCTCCAAAGCCAGTATTTGTAAAGCACTTTGTGATTACTTGCTAACGCAGATCCGTGAATTGTGAATGTATTTTTATTTTCTATTATTTATAGCTTGTTGGATATTATTTGCAAAGTACAATATCATTACATAAAGATGCACACATTGTTTGTTTTGTTTTTATACATATGTCTCTAGAGTTTGAACCCAGCAGTCTGCCATATATGAAAGTAAGCCGGTCTTACTTTAATTCTGATTTTTGATCTGTAAATCAGATAATTAACAGATGGGGTTTTTTTTCATCCTTAACTACTCCATTCGGTTTGGAGCTCTAAAAACATTAACCTGCATCTTTCTTGATTTGTTGATTAGGTCAAAATCAGATTTTATTTCTTTTATTTCAGGGAGGGTACTCTGGTGCACATTGTTCTGTTTTATTTTAAACCAGTATTAGCTTAAAAAAAGGCCTGATTGATGCTTATTTAGAGCCACAATGCTAGATAGATTGCCTATATTACCAGCTAAAGTGGGCTCTGGCTCTGCAGCCAAATGTGAAAGAGTAAAATGAATGCAGGTAATAGAATATGATGTCTCTTTATGCCTTTTTGTTTTGCTCTGCATGCAGATGTGGTTTCTGTGTACATAATCTGACACACACGTTTACAGTCCAGTGAACTGATTAGGGCGTTGTTAATTATTACGTCAACAACTCAGTCATTCCAATAATTATTTGATTGTCAGGTTCTGCTCCTCTAATATTTCAACATTAGAAAAGGTAAAGGTTGGTTTTGGCAGTGTTGCAGTGATGCTTGGTGTCTGTGCATCTTCACACTCAACACACATGCACAGTTTTCTCATCTGTGTCTGCACAACAGTTTGTGATGTTTGCGCTGAGCCAGCTGAGTCAGTAGAGCTAAGAGCTTGGCAGGCGATACAGAGATGCAAGCAGAGGATGTTGCAGGAAGCACTCTTAGAATTACCTCTAAATGAAAGCCTAGGACATACAAAGCCTCATTTGGCCATTTCAACCTCTGAACATATTCTACTGTTGAAATGCATACATTGCATGAATGCTGCTTGTAGCGCAATTGATATAAACACAAAACAGCTATGTTATTACAAATGTTTATTTTATGATAAATATACAGTTTTGATTGTAAGCAATTAATGCAAGTGCAAAGTATGCCTGTATTTCAAACTCCAGGGAGGCACTTTGAATGAAAGATAAGGTAAAAGAGTGAGTAAAAGTGCAAATAATAAGTGCATGATAGTAGTTGCTGTATAGAAAGTGTCACTGCTGAAGTGAAACAGCTGAAGCTTTCCTCTGAGCTCACAATTCATTATCAACTAACAGATTTGCTCCCCCTTGTTTCCCCCTCAGTCTGGCCAACATTCCTCTGACCCCAGAAACAGCCCGGGATCAAGAGAGGCGAATTCGCAGAGAGATCGCCAACAGCAATGAGCGTCGGCGTATGCAGAGCATCAACGCTGGATTTCAGTCACTGAAAACACTCATCCCACACAGTGATGGGGAGAAGCTGAGCAAGGTGGGTCACAAACTGTGGGTTTGAATTCGGTGATGAGCTTGAAATAAAAGTTGTTTGTTTTAGTTTAAAGTGTATTTTTTATTGGTTTGATATAAAGAACAACAACTACAACATAGCGAGGCAGAGGCATGTCCCCACTCGATGTCCTTTCACAGGTTTTATGACGGTTTCAAAAGTCTTTATTGACTTGTGAAAAGTGAAATTAAATCTTAATTTTAAATCAAGAGCTTAATTGTGATGATTAGAAGTTAGGAAACAAACTACGGCAGAGTGTTAGGGTATTAGGTTAGTTTTTTTTTTTTTTTTTTTTGTAGAATAAAGTAGTAAAATTGTGAGAATTAAGACCTAATATTACAAGAATGAAGACATAACATTGTGTGAATGTTTATTCTTGTAATATTACTACTTTATTCCTATAATCTTGCAACCTTATTCTCGAAAGAAAAAAAGACAAAATTAGCGACTCACGAAAACATGGATGGTAACTTTTAGGAACCATCTCCAGGGAGAGCACTAAACAGAGAAGCAGGTATGTTGGACATCCCTTTTCTGGGGGAGCTTCAAGCATACAAAGCACAGGTGGGAGAATATTTTTATTTAGGGTGCTGAAATTGAGATTTTACAGAAGATTGGAAAGAAAGAAACTGCTACTATAAAAAGTCCTCTCAAGATGCTCTAATCAGATGAGATATAGACTTGCAAACTTTGGCAAACGTAGGACTGAACAACAACTTCCCAATACAAGACATGGTGGTGGCTGGATAATGCAGTGGGAGTCTTGTCATTTAAGGATCAGCTCGTCAGACTTTATAGGAATATAGATGGAGGTGAATTAAGACTGAGTCAGCCTTCACTGTGGGTTTTTAAGTTCTAGAATGAGTTAAAGTCCTGATGTTAATCAAATTGAAAATTGGTGACAACGCTTAAACAATCGATTGTAAATACAAATAGAATACATTGCTGGTTGAAAGCGAAAAGGGATAACTTGCTGTTATAAATGAGCTGTGTTGTTTTTCAGGCAGCAATCCTGCAACAAACAGCTGAGTACATCTTCACTTTGGAGCAGGAGAAGACGCGGCTATTGCAGCAGAACAGTCAGCTCAAACGAATCATTCAGGTACAGGTAAAGCGGTGTGCATGAATCTGCCCAGACGTCTGTTCAGGTTTTAGTGCTTTTAAACCACATATCTTAACCTTTTGGTTGTGTTCTCCAGGAGCTAAGCGGTTCTTCCCCGAAGAGGAGAAAGACGAAGGCATCGGCTCACCAGACATTCTGGAGGAGGAAAAGACTGAAGACCTGAGGAGGGAGATGATTGAGCTGAGGCAGCAGCTGGAAAAGGAGCGTACAGTCAGAATGATGCTGGAGGATCAGGTAACAGTAGAGCGGAGGAAAAAAACACACATTTTCATAAGCTTTCAGTGCGGAAACTGACCTGGATTTTTCCCGCCGTGTCCTCGTTGGGCAGATGCGCTCCATGGATGCTCAGATGTACCCAGAGAAGCTGAAGGCCATCACCCAGCTGGTCCAGGAGCAGCAAGTCCAGACGCCAGGTCTTGTTCGTCTGCCAAAGCAGCTAGAGAGAGACATCACTCCAGCACACAGCCCTCAGGTAGAATCCATCTCATTCTGGCTTATAGAACATTCAGCATCTTTGCTCACTAAATCTAACTTTCAGTATCTGCTTTATTTAATCATCACAAAATGAGCCTCCAGCCTTTAGTGAAACAGTTTTATGGGATAGTCATCACCCTGACAATATTAGGCTTATAGATATATCAGTTTATTTAAAAAATGAAGAAAACAATTGAAGAAACGATGCATATTTTCCCCTAAAATGTTTAATTTATCTGGGTCTGACTTTTTCACACAGTCCATCTAAAGAATTTTTTTTTTAAACCAAACAATGTCTGATAGATATATGCCATAGGAAATCTGTTGCCTATATAAGGAAGCATAGTTTTAACCATGTTTTGGGGTTTTGAAAGGTACATAAAACTTCACAAAAAGCTGATTTCTTCCATAGGATGTTTGTTTGTAGAAAATAATGTGGGAAAAAGAGTAGAGTTTCTAAGGTTATGGCAAGAAAAACTCTTGCATTTGTCATTATAACTATATTTAAAACAATCATTTGTTTTTAATCACTTTTATCCAATGTTACTAAGAGCTGTTGTAGAGGACGCATACGGATCTAACTGCAGCTTTTATAACACGATTTTTAATGAAGGTACCTATTCGGTCAAGTCAGTGCAGGGTTACCAAACATGGTGCACAAGTTCAACCACACAGACCACCGGGGATATTAAATCATCGATGAAATACACACATTCAAAATTAAGAATCATTTGTAGTGGATCTCTGAAAGAGCTAACAGCATCTTTAGCAATTGGCGGCTTTAAACAGAGTGCAAGATCAGACCCAACTTGGTGACTAAAGGGCACCAAGTCAAATGTCACTTGCGTCTGGTCGACAACCAGTTTTGCTGCTATGCTTCTGCACCGTTGGTCTGGAATGTGCTAGGGACGCACAGGAGTTTCCTGTCAAAGCGCAAAGGGGAGCCTATTCGAGAACTCGCAAGGACTTCCACGGATTGTCCTTCCGATCCT